TTGATGTAACTCCACTTGAAATATCCGAATAATGAAGATGCAAATTTCTTGTTACAATGTTCATGAAGATCCACCTAAAATTCATCAATCCAAGCAAGCACTAAGGTAACCACTTTATATAAGAGAGTGTGATATGATATATCATCATCTCTATACACACTCTAAATATTCTGGACTCCTATACATCATATACATAATCACTTTCAATACTAACTTGACTCCTGGAGCTTCTACGCCGAGACAATTTTCGACGCTGTTTTGTAGGTCATTTCAACGGTTCAAAAGACGTCGGGCTGGATCGATGTTGTTTACACACCATATACAATTTTTTTTTTATTTTTATTATAGCTAAGAATAAAACCTTTTAGGTAAACCTTTGCAATTTTCCGAATTAATTAACTTATTACAACACAACCACCTGAAATTGTGTTGCAGTGTTTGACTTCTAAAAGGCACTATAGTTAGGTTCCTGGTTGGATATATATGATGCTAATATTGGTATTATTCCATAATTAATTAATGCCTTTTCACCTAATTAATCATATATATACACCTAGTTAACATCCTCATTAAATAGCAAGATCTCTCTGTGTGCGAGATCTAGTTTGGTGGAAGCTGACAAGGCTCTTTCCACACGTTATAATTCCAATAGTGGTCAACCCAAGTAGTTTACTTGTTATCACTTCTTTTATTTAGTTATTTATATTTAAATTCTAAAACTTGGATTGGACATTTTGGATTCTCCCACGATTTTGATGGATATTTTTCTCCAGCTGCCCACTACCTTAAAATGCCACAATCCGCAGGCTTTTAATTTCTTACACTTAATCTATCTAAATTTGTACAAAATATAGTACTAAATGAAAATTCGAATGAAAAAGAAAATAATTTAGAGGATATAAATTCGTGTGAAATCCATCTCTAGCGGCAATTGGGTACTACATAAATGTATGCAAATTTCATGGTTGTAATTTACACTAAAAGTCAACTAGGATGAAGGTGCCCAAAAGGCCAAAAGTTTATTGTTTTCTTTGACAAATTAATATTAACATGGAGTTGCAAGTTGTGAATCGCAACTTATATTCGACGTCATTGGTCTGTTTCGAATTTTCTTTTAATTGGAAATGATAACATATTAATACAATATATGTACTACGGGAGTTTGTTAAAAATTTATATTTAAAATTAAAAATAATAATAAACAAATTATTCTAATTTTCAAATGTTATTTTAAAGAACTATATTACAATTTATATTTAAAATAACAGACATCACTCGGAATTACAACGATAATTCCAATAAATATTCCAACGGTAGATTTTCCAATGAAACACTCATGCTAATTTATATAATTTACACTAGTGTAGAGCCCGTGTGATGCACGTGGTGCACAATTTTAAGGCAATTTATCCAGGCGTATAATTATATCCATGAATAAAGAAAAATGTATGGGATATATAAAGTACGTGACCCGTACGAGGCACGAGATATATTTATTTGGGGAATATTATATTATAAGATGCAATATTAAATAAAAATTTTATGATACGTAGGAAAATTGTACAATAAGGTAGTATTTGACAAAGAAACAATCATATATTATTAAAGACCTCCTTGTACACAACATTATGAGTTTGATTATTGGACAACTCGTCATTCTCACAAACTAAACATATACAAAAAAGCAATCATAAAAAATTAATTTGTTTAAAATACATAAATAATGTAAATATCTAAATATATACACGATCTCTAGAAGAAATAAGGCAAATTCTAAATTTAAAAATAAAATTAAAAAAAATCAAAAATATACGNAGTAAAAATAATTTGGCTTACAGTTTTATCGTGCAGAACCAACTCGAGATAGGATTTGTACGTGTTGCCCTAGTCTTGTAAAAACATTCTTACAATTAAAACTTTAAGCATAGGTCTATTAGACCTATTAACTTGTTTGATTAAGCAAAATCCTTGATTCATTGTTTTGAATGAAAGACTGATTGGGGATATTTTTTTCGCAGGAGGTTGAAAATGAGGAAGACGATGACTCAATATTTTGAGATTTATAATTTATAATTAGTAGAGTAGAATCAATATCTGTTAAGATTTTTAAGAAATAATCTTGATATACTGAAATTACATTATATGTAGAGGAACAAATCAGATCATATTTTCCATACAATTAGATAAGATTTTTTGTACAAAGATAAGAAGGAATTTTAAATCCACACAAACTTAAACATTAAATGTATTGATTTACGTTTCAATATCTATATAGACAACCAAACCCTTCAATTTAGGTTTGATATCTGATTTATTTTTGATAAAATCATGATTTTATCATCCGATCAAATCTGCCTTTTTTTTTTTTACGTACATTTTTTTTTTACCGATTTTATGGGAAAAACAATTAAATAAAAATTAATTGATAGAAATAGAATGCATTAATTACTTTTGACTTTTCTTCCTACTAATTCTAGTAAATGAGATGGCCTCTTTATATAAGTATAGATACATTATATACTAAATTAATTTTAATTAGTTTTTGGAAGATTTATACCAGTATATATTAAATTATTTTTGGCAGATTTACAACAGATACTACGTGTATTGTACGGATATTGGTGTATTGTACTGATGGGACAAAAATGTCACCCGGACCCCTCGACTCGGACGGCCACCGTACCTGCAAAAACCCAAAGTCGGGACCCCGGGTGGGGTGCCCGGCTTCGGGCCTCCGATGCTTAAGTCAGTACTCATATCATAGAGAGAGAGAGAGTAGAATGGAATCAATCGAGAGCATCCCTGAAATGAGTACCTTAGCCCCCTTTTTATAGGGGGAGTATACCTCATAATCCAAGTTGGGCTTTGGCCTAGCTTGGGCCTGGTCCATCTCATCATATCAAGTGTCTTAGCCTATGTATGGGCGTATTCTTCAGTATATATCCATAAAAACCGGTCGGGTACGACATGCTATATCAGATGCTACCGGTCGAGCCGACAATACTATTCGTGGCTATATCATGTACGGATTTGGATTCCATAAAAAAGTATTTGCAGCAATCATATACAATGAAATAAATTACTCCACAAAAAAAGGGGAAAAGTTGAGTCCAAATTGTGAAAAAATTAATGCAATGGCGTGAAAGAAGGATTTATTACATATTATCTGTTGGAGTTAATGCTCGCTATATATTAGGCCAAAATTAATGCAATGGCGTGTAACAAAAACAGCTCATATGGAATGATTTTATGATAATTAATTCGGTGTAATTAATGAGACGTGTGAAAAGGACATAAAACTTGCCGTTTTTGGAAAATAATTAATGCAAACCAGACTTTGACCATAAATTGACTTATTAATTTTGATAAATGTTAATTCTTATTATATATATATAGATTATTGTGTCCTGCATCTATACTTATATTAAAGGGGGTACTATTTACCAAATTAAGTAGTCAGAAAAGCCAACAGCATTTATTGCATTACTATTTCCGTATTATACTATATAAAAGGATATTCTATTTACTACATTTACTATCCAGAAAAGTTAACTGTATTAAATGTCATTACTATTTTGGTATTATAATATTTTATTTATTTAATTAATTTATTTATTTGTTTTCTTTTAAAAAGGTAAGTATAATAAAAAGTTTTTAATAACAAAAAAATCAAATACCAAATAAAAGTGTACACTTTGACTTATTTGATTATATTTAGTATTTGATTATACCAAATATATTCCTATTTAGTATATACATTAAATACTTACTAAAGTATTTATTTGTTTTATTTGTCAAAGTTAAGTATAGATTTGTTTATATTATCAAATCATAAAAAAATATTAAATCCATATTGTAAAAAAAAATTCATATAATTTTATAACAATTCTACTATACTATTTAACAGTATTATTTTTTTATTATGTAATAAAATAATAATTAAATATTATATGGTGAACAACAATAAGTAAAATTGTTACTTTCTCTTATATCAAGGGATAAATTTATATGCTAAAATTAAATTTTTAATAGTATAAATGTTTTAGTGAAATAATATTTTAATTATTTTACAAGCTAGCCCTAACATGCTCATATTTAATGTTTTAAAAGATGTAGAAAAAAAAAACTTATAATAACTCTATTGTTTTTTAGACTTAAACGTTGATTAAAAGAGGTAAAAATTCTAAATTTTTTAGACTTAAACGTTGATTAACACCATAGATTGAGAGTTTATATTTAGTAAAATTCCTAATTGTAATAAAAAAATTAATTTTTGCTATATTTTAGAATATCTTTAAATTCATTATAAAAAAAAGAAAAAAAAAGTACAATGAAAAAAGCAAGTCAACTATATATCGATTTGTTGTACTCCTCAAATAACATTCACAATTTGGCTACAAGGAAAGGAAACTCATTGATTAAAATATTATTTTGTCAGTAATCTTAGTGTACAAGAGACTTTAAGACTCCACTTGAATATTATAAAACTTTTATTGAACATTATACAATTTCTTGCGTATTATAAACTTTTATTGAATATTGCATCTTATAATATAATATTATCCAAATAAATATATCTCGTGTTTCGCACGTACTATATATATCCCGTACATTTTTCTTTATTCATGTATATAATTATAAGTCTGGATAAATAGCCTTAAAATTGTGCACCCTGTACATCGCACGGGCTCTGTACTAGTTATATGGTAACTGGAATACTGACTAATTGTAATTAAGTTATAAAGTTGTTATACATATAGACCTAAATAGCACCAATTTTCGAACTCCACGTAGGAGTATATTATATTGTTGGGCACATGCTTGCGACAAATTAATTAATTATTAGACCACACATCTAAAAGCATATACAAACCACACTATATATATTCATTCTCACACAACCATCATAGAAACACACAGAACATAAATACACAATAAACAAAGTAGTTNGGCTGATGTCTACCCCAAACTCAAACAATAACCTCAACACATCAAATCCCATGTTCACCCTAAGATCAACGGCCCACGACACTCCGAACGATGCCTTAAAGGAGCAAGAAAGGCTGCTACCTATAGCCAACGTGGGCCGAATCATGAAGCAAATTTTGCCCCCAAACGCGAAAATCTCGAAAGAGGCCAAAGAGACTATGCAAGAATGCGTGTCCGAGTTCATAGGCTTCGTGACTGGCGAGGCTTCCGAGAAGTGCCGGAAAGAGAGGCGGAAAACGGTCAACGGAGATGATATTTGCTGGGCTTTGGGGACCCTTGGATTTGACGACTACGCGGGCCCCATGAAGAGGTACCTGGATCGATATAGGGAGATTGAGGTTGAAAGAGTTAATAATAGTAGTAATAATAATAGCAATCAGAATAATTATAGGGGTGAAGATAATATGGAGGAGGATTGTGATATGTTGTAATAACATGAGGAATGAAAATGTTGCATGACAAAACAAAATAAGGAAAAAAAAATAGAGTTTGACATTTACTTCCTAATATTGTCTGAGGTTAATTAATAATTTGATCTGGTGTTAGGGTATAGTTGTGGTTTAATTGCCAATGGTTTCTTCTTCTATCATTCCTTTTCTACGGTTTGACTAAAATAAATTATGGCAAGAGTTGTCAATCTTGGGTGGTTCTTGAATCTTGGTTTGTTTGTTTACTGCTGCAACTTTTTTTCATTTTGGCGAGCAAACTTCACTCAACTTGTTTAATAAACAAGATCATTTAGCTGCTCAAGTTCAGCTCATATAAGTATATGAAAGAACCAATCTCAAAAAATAAGACGAGCTGAATCGAGTTGTGCTTTCACAACTCGATTCGAATAATAACTCTATCCAACGGGGTGAAATTAAGCTAATATTACTATTGTTTGTGTGCCTTATCATCATTTTATTACACTGATTTTCCTTATTGCTCATCTACTTCCAAATATAGTAAATTTGAATATTCCATGAATATTCTGATTAAGGATTTATTCACTATTGGAAGGTTCTGCTTCTGAATGGGCCTCTAAAACTATGAGAAAAAGGTTCAACTGATAGTGGGTAAAGGCGATTTCTGGGATTTAGTGTGTAAGAAACAGGGACAAAACGGGTGAGACCTAAGAAACGAGGGCAAAACGGGTGCGGTCTCACGCACATGAAGAGCACCATAAGCAGGGAAAGCCTAGATGAAGCCCAAGTGGGGTTCCATCTCAAAACCAATTGGTGGTAGAAGGAGTAGCTCATTACACTTATAAATTAGGCTAATTTTCTCTATATAAACGATGTGGGACAACTCACAAGTGAATATTCTAATATCGTCAATATTATTAGCAATTGTTATTGGAAACTTCTTTGATTAGCCATTTTTGCCTCTTAAGGTCTTTATTTTAAACTACTATTATACTGTTGAGTCATGAATATTATAGGGTTCTAATAAGATTGCATGGAGTAGAGTGCTACAAATTAATGAATCAAGCAGCTCACGAGTGCTTGAGTACTCAATACTTGAGCACCTCAAATTCACACTTGAGTTGAGGCCGAGCTTATCGTTTGTAAACCCAAGCAGTGGTTAAAATACCGTACCATATTGGCCGGTAATACTAGATACTGGCCATTGATACGGTACAATTACACAAAAAATACCTGATTTACGGTTATGTCGGTTTGTGCCGGGATCATACCATAAATATCAGAAAATACCGGTCCAAGATACCAGTCAACAAAAATAAATTATTAATTTAAAAATATAAAATTTAAATTGGTAGTTAGAATGTATTATTTTTATCTCATTGAGGCCATTTATTTTCTTACTTTTTTGCATCTGTTATTATATATTTTTATGTATATTTATATATATCATTATATTTGTTAGTCTGGTAATACCACTTACATTACCGGTTCGATCGATAATACTGCGTACCGGTGGTTAGACTGATATGACCACCGGTACGGTATTTAAAACACTGAACCTAAGTGCTCGACAAGCTGCTTGAATATACGTACACTTATCTAATACTCCTAATTAGATCATTTTTATTAAAAATTAAAACCCAACTCGGGCAAAATTCGTGCCAATCTTGAGAGCTTGCATTTTTTTATCGAGTCAAGCGGAGCCTAAAAATGTTCAGCTCATTGAGCTCGAGCTCCATCAACGATAAAAAAATCGAGTCTATATCAATAAGGTCAATGCTCAATTTTACTCGACTTGTTTGCAACCTTATTGAATGTGATGCAATCAATATGAAGGATAGCCTATCAGAGATGGACAAACACTAAATATCTTAAATATGGTGAGATAAACGAGCATATACAATTGAAAAACATCTAAAATATCTTAAATAGCTTTTTAAACACATGAAGGTATTTTGTACACTTAGCGAGTGCAAGAGATTTATGCATACAGCTAGACTTATCAATTTAACCCATACAAACTGAGACTAATGCTGAAATATTATATAACATAGGTAAAAACATCTAAAATAGTCTAAAGAATGTATCAAGTCACTAAAATTGTATAGATCCTTAATCTATAGAAAGTGTAAAAAATTTATCCAAACAACATGTTTAAAAGTATCTAAAATATTATATGCCTAAAAAAAATTAGTAATTAGACATTATGAATTTTATCCAATATCATTTTCTCATGAAGATGTATCATATTATAAGTTGATTTTACTGAGAAATCTCCTTCAGGATCTTGGTGTCAAGCAACCGAATTAGGCCTTTTGTTTTTATCCAATGGAATTTTGAAAATAGCTTCCGCATCAACCTTTGTAACAATATATTAGGGATGAAAACAAGATTCCTCCAAAGGGGGGCGATTATTCTCTTTCAGGGAAGATTAGGGTTTTTCATTCCATCTGAGGGTGGGAATTAGGGGTCTTTGGGAGAGCGTGTTTCTTAGCATTAGGGTTGTGCGATTATTTCAGCAGGGAGCGTTTGGGTTTGAGAGTTTATTTTGTCTTTCTTGTGCTCAGTTGCAGGTTTCGCGATGGAATCGGAGGTAGCAGAAGACACCAATTCATCAGTCATTCCAGAGGACTTAGACATAAAATTTATAGGGATTGATTTATACGAGTCTGAGGTAACGGCCATTGAATTGAGAGATGTCGATATAAAGACTAGTGCTGAAGAATGTGAGCACAGTTTGTTCAGGAAAATCATCGGTGACAGAAATTTAGTTTGTTGGGAATCAGAAGAACGATGGGCAACATTTGGAAAATTAGAAGTCCTATGGAGGTAAAGGAACTGAAGAGCAATTTCTTTCAGTTTATATTTGGGAACAAGGAGGATAAGAAAAAAGTGGCGACAGGAGTAAAGTGGATCTTCGAAAACCAGTATCTAATTCTTCGAGAATGAAAGGAAGGGCTAAATGAACACCATAAGACTTTCTCATAACTAAGGCTATGGGTGCAAGTGAATAATCTTCCATTGAATTGGCTTTGAACTGAAGTTGGTAGGAGAATTGGCAGCGTTTTTAAGCAGATCCAGAATGTGATTGTGATCAAAGCAGGTGGCATTAGGGGCAGCTATTTAAGAATTCTGGTGGGAGTAGATGTAACTAAGCCGCTACCTAGATGTGTTAGTATCAAACTTCATGATTCAGTGCAGCAAGTTACATTCCAATATGAAAACTTGGTTAATACCTGCTACTATTGTGGAATCATAGAACATCTAGAACGAGCTTGTGAAAAAAGATGCAGAGATATTACGAAGTGAGGTGAAAGAGGGGCAATACAGGGACTGGATGAAGGTTGTGGATAGTTTTATGATACTTAAATCTCCAATTCCCAGCTCCCCAACTAGCCAGTCGGCAGAGGAGGTTCAGAAACATCAATTGCTTTGTCAAATTCCTACTAGTAGATTTGTGGATAATCAAGCCTCGGGAAGTAATTCCCATCTTCATAATAAAAAAGAGACTCAAGAGTCTAAAGAGAAGGAAGTGGAGCTTCATAATGAAGAGATGGAGAAAGAACTGGATATCCACAGAGAACTAACAGGTATGAAAAATGTAAATAGTGCCAAGATAAGTGGTGAGGAAGAGGAATGACCACAAGAGGCTGGGGACAATGCAATGGAGACTGAAATCCTTGTGGAGGTTCCAGTTGAATTGTCAGAGGAGGATGAAAGGATGTATCACCAAGGACAGAATCAAGCACCACTGATCAGAGGATGGAAAAGATTAAGTGGTAAGAATCACTTGTCTAGACATGAGAAGGCTCACGAGGGTCCAATTCAGAATCATAAGAGGAGATATTGTCCTGATGAAGAGGAGGTGGAAGAGAATTCAGAGAACCAGGGAATTGTTATAAGAAACTCAAAAAAGCAGAAACAAGAAGATTCAAAGGTGGAGTGGTCACCCTAGAATGGGCCCAAGTTTCCAAATGAAGCTCATGATGTGGAATTGTAGAGGGTTGGGTGGACCCTCTACAATTTCCCAGGTTAAGGAATCATCTAGATTCCACCACCCAAGTTTTTTCTTTATTTCAGAAAAAAAAAAAAAGGATTTTGTGCAGTCAGTGTGTAAGAAAATAGGATTTAAAGATTGTTTCAAAGCTATTGATTCACAATGGCTTAGTGGAGAAATTTTGCTTCTTTTGCAGAAGGATGTAAGTATTAAACACATCGTTGAACACAACTTTTGTTTTGAGGTAGAAGTGGAGGGTACTCCTAAGTTCCCTTCATTGTGGCTGATTTTTGTCTACATGAGTGCTGATAAAAGAACTAGAGAAGAGCAATGGGACTTGCTGGTTAGAGCTAAGACTAAATGGGGCAAGTACTGGGTGATTAGAGGGGATTGGAACACCATAAGAACTTCTGAGGAAAAACAAGGGGGCAGGCTAAAAACTGTGAGAGATTGTGTAGGCTTCAATGAGTTTGTGTCCAAAGTGGAAATGCTAGAAATTCAGAGCATAGGTCACCCTTTTACCTGGGCAAATAATAGGGATGAAAGAGGCTTTATAGAGGAAAAAATTGATAGGATTTTCTGCTCCTATGATTGGTTGTCTCTGAAACCAGATGCAGAGGTCTAGGTTGTTTTTTGAAGTGCTTCAAATCATAGATTATTGGTGATGGCAGACTCTCAACATCAGGAGGTCAATAGGAAGAGAAGATTCTTCTTTGATTGAAAATGGCTGAAAAGAGAAGGCATTAAGGAGGTGGTGGCCAAGGTCTGGGAAATGAGTAAAGATGACACTTTCATGTTTCAAGTATCTGAAAAAATTAAGGATACAAGAGTGGCACTTTTGAGATGGAGTAAAGGGTTTAGATCTGCAGAGGTAGAAGAAAAACAGAGAGTTTCAGAGAGGTTAGAACTATTGAGTGGGCAGGGAGCAGATAGAGATTGGGCAGAATAGGAGAGATTAAAAGTCTGCTTAGAAAAAATCAACTTGAAAGAAGAAGAGTTTTGGCAGCAAAAGTCCAGGAGCCAGTGGTTGTAGGAGGGGGACTCCAACACAAAATATTTCCATGCTCTCACTCTGCCGAGAAGGAAATCCAATAAAATTCAAAGGCTGCAAGGGGCTGAGGGAGAGGTGTGGGAAGATTTAAAGGACATAGAACAGTGTATTTTGTTCACTTCTGAGGGTTCTGAGGGAGATGAAGAAATCCCTGAGCTTATTCCAGTGACTGTAACAGAAGCAATGAATGATGAATTAGTGGCTCCTGTTTCTGAAGAGGAAATCAAAGAAGCTTTGTTCAACTTGGATCCAGGAAAGGCACCCAGGCAAGATGGTAGGTCTCCTATTTTCTTTCAATATTTTTGGGATGTGGTGAAATCTGATTTGTGTGAGGCCATTTTTAGTTTCTTTGCTTGTGGCCAATTGCTCCAAAACTGGAATCACACTTTAATTTCTTTGATTCCTAAATGTCTCAACCCTTCTGCTATTTGGAATTATAGACCTATCAGTCTATGTGGTGTATCTTATAAAATTATCTCTAAAATCTTGACTTCTCGGTTGAAAAATTGCCTTCAGTATTGCATCAGCCCAAATCAGAGTGCTTTCATTCCAGGTAGGCAGTTATTAGACAATGTAATTATTGCTCAAGAAGTTGTGCATTATCTGAATAGGCATACGGTGGGGAAAAAGGGAATCATGGCTGTTAAAGTTGACATGGAGAAGGCCTATGATAGGATTGAATGGGAGTGTGTTAAAAAAATAATGAGAAAGATGGGGTTTCATCCTGTTTTGTGAAATGGGTTTTAGCTTGTATATCATCTACTGTGTTCTCATTTAATTTGAATTGGAGGGTGAGAGGTTTTGTGAAAGCTTATAGGGAATTAAGACAGGGGGACCCCTTGTCCCCCTATATTTTTATCCTGGTGTCTGAAGTGCTGTCTAAGTTGTTGTTGAATGTTTCTGAAAGAGGGCTTTTTTTCTGGGATTAAAATGGGGAAGATAGGGCTAAAAGTTACTCATCTCATGTTTGCAGATGACACTCTTTTTTAGTTCTGCAGATGTTTGCCATGCTAATATTTTGATGTCTGTACTGGAGAAATATCAGAGATTCACTGGTCAAAAGGTGAATGTGAGCAAGTCTTCAGTTTTTTTCAGCAAGAGTACTAATAGAGACATGCAGGCATCTATATGTGGGATTTTTCATGGGATTCAACTTCAAAGGTCTACAAGGTATCTCGGGTTACCTCTTGGGATTGGGAAATCTAAAAAAGAAGTATTTTCTAAAATGATTGAGGCAGTTCAGAAGAGATTGGTGAATTGGAAATCAAACTTCCTTTCTACAACTGTAAAGGAGGTGTTGATTAAGGCTGTTATTGATGCTCTCCCGGTTTTTACTATGTCTTGTTTCTGTCTGCCTTTGGGAATTTGCAGGGATATCATTAAACTGACAGCTAATTTTTGGTGGAGTAAGGGGCAGGGCAATTCTAAAGGAGTTCACTGGAAAACTTGGAAGATGCTTGCTTTACCAAAAGAGCTTGGTGGGCTGGGGTTTAAAGACTTGACATTATTCAATGAGGCACTGATCCTAAAGCAAATTTGGAGAATCTTGTCTCATCCTAACTTGCTGGTGTCCAAAGTGTTGAGAGGCAGGTATTTTCCTAATGATTCTATTTTGAAGGCTAAAAAGAATTCTTCTGCATCTTGGTTGTGGCTTAGCTGGTTGACAATCAGAGACAAATACAAACAGTACTTCAGAGTGCAAATTAAGGATGGCATATCAACCAACATTTGGTCAGAGCCTTGGATCTCAAATCATAGCCCTGGCTACCCAATATTAAAGAGTGGAATTGACTGCCAGTTGCAGACAGTGAATCAGTTGATGGAAGAGGGGGGTAGAGGTTGGAACCTGGAGCTCTTGCATGAGCTGTTTGAGGAGAAGGACAGGAAGGCAATTCAGAGTATCAAAAGCTTAGATGGCTCATTGAAAGATAGATGGGTCTGGTCACTTAATAGAAAACGAACATTTTCAGTGAGTAAGACTTATGACTCCCTCATATTGAAAAAGTTCAAATCCTGGGATTTAGCAAAAGGAAGTACATCTGCTGACACAGTGAGAAAAGTTAGGAAGAGGAGCTGGAACTTGTTGATTAAGGGCAAACATAAACATTTCATTTGGAAATGTGTTAATGATGTCCTGCCTACTTGTATGAATCTGAAGAGGATGGGCATGGAAGTGGACACAATATGTCAATTCTGTGGTGAAGCTGAGGAGAACTTAGAACACTTGTTTTTCCATCGCACTAGAGCTCAAAGGATTTAGCAAATTGCTCCTATTTGCTGGGAAGGGATGGATGATCTCAATTTCAGGAGGTGGTGGGGTCAAATTTGTTCAGTTAACAAGCTGCAAACCTCAGAAGATAGGATCCAACTAACCACTTACATCCTATGGTAGTTATGGAAATCAAGAAACTTATGGAAGTTTCAGAACTCTTTGATGCCAGAGGTTGCAGTGGTTAACTTGGCTTGGAAGGAATGGTGGGAATTCAGGGTGGCTAGAAGTTAAAGAAACAGGAAGCATAGAAGGTTGGACTAGGTCCTGGGGGTCCAGTGGTTCATCTCTCTTTGCTACCTACTGTTGCTGTTACTAACATTGGTTATGTGTTACTGTTAGCTAAATTATCTTGCTGGAAGGTTCGACATGATCTTGTTGCTTTTAGTTAGGATAATTAGCTGAGGAAATTGATGTGTATTTTGTTTTTGGTTTGTTGTTTGTTTTATTGTTTTCTTAGTTGATTCTTAAGGATAATGGTAGTTTATCCTTAGATTGTATCCTTGTGATATTGGACTAGTTAGTCCACGATTGTAAGACTGATTATTTTGGCTATGAGAATTCTTCTATCGGTCTANAAAAAAAAAGAAAAAAAAAACCTTTGTAACATATCCAATTAACTATTCATTCCAACTTCCCATTTCATAACCTTTAGAACAAATCCAATTAACTATTCATTCCACCCTCCCATTTCATACATCAGACGACTCTCTAAAACCATTATGATCTAGAGAGAGAATTGTGGCTATATGTTTAGAGGAAAATAGAATCAAGCACTCAGGGGTAGGATTTGGTGTTGGTGACTTTTAAAATGACAAATAAAACACCTATAACAAAGGCTAAAGCACATACAAAGACCACTTTAAACTTTATATGACATATATGTGCCAAATTTTTTCAAACATTAGACATTTTACATTATTAATTATATACCAAAATTACCTCCTAATCAGTTATGGAAAAAACATTAACAAGATATTAACATCTCAACAATCATATTGTTATATCACATGTTATCAAAAATTAATTATTGTTGAAAAATATTTTGTTTTAATTTTACTATACCATATTTGACCGTGGTTTTTAAAGCAAAAGTGAGTTTGAGTATTGATCACTATTGTTTAACGATAATTTATTGTTGGTTTATTTGTTGTTTAATTTGTTCTTTATTTCATATATTATAATATTTGTTTAGTTGTTGTATTCATCATGTATTTGTTATTACTAAGAACACATGATGAGTAATAAAATAGAAATAGAATTTATATTATGTTTATTTGTCACTAAAGTAAAACTAAGTTTTTTATTTATATCATCCATCAGCACATCGGGGGTGTTGGTAACCCTAATCCCCTTCTCCCTACACTTGGCCAGGTCGATCTTATCCAATCCCACGTTCAAGCACGGAACAATCTCCAATTTCAACAGCGCATCGATCAACTTGGTGGTGGCGTTGGTGGCAGCGCTCCCCACCACGACGCAGATTGAGTGGGCTTGCTGAGTGATGAAATTCATCTGCTTCGGCTATGTCAAGTACAGCAGGAGCCTGAATCGTTTGTCGAGTTCCTGCTTCAGGTAACTGCTCATCGGGCACATCAGGACCTCGACGGCCTCTATTTTTGCGCCGGAGGGTGGTGGTGGAGAAATTGAATAGGAGTGAGCGAGAGTCAATTGTGTGGTTTGAAGAATATTGTGTGTCAGGGCAATGGATGGCTGAAATCTCGTCGCGCTCAGTGTAACTAGCATTTTATTATTATTGTTATTATTATTATTGAAGAAGAAGAAGAAGTAGGAGGTGGAAGAAAGTGAACAAATGAGTTGGTGAGGAAGAAAAAGGGAAGAGAGATGAAAGAAAAGTCAATTTCAGGTTATTAATACACCTAATTTACTTCCAACAATTAATTTGGCGACATGTTATTATCAAAACAATTTGGCGACGTGTTATTATCAAAACAAGATCAAAACAAGATTAACGTATTTTCGTACTTATTTTCTACTTAGAAAGCCATTATGCATTACTATGTAACATAATTGATATTAAAAAAATCATGGACTAATTAAAGACATAAAATGATTGGCAAGAGTGGATTGATAAATTTTCTTGAGGAAATTACACCCCCCACGACCCCACAGCATTTTTTTTTACATTATTACCAGCCAATTATAACTATTAGCAAGTATACTATATTTTACCAATTTATTTGCAAAGTTACGAGACATAGAAGTACTATTATAACTCAAACGAACCATGTTCGAATATTACAAACCAACCGGAAAGGAGAAATGGGAGGACACGCTCAAGGCGGCCTAGAACCTCAACAAGAACAACAACAAAAAAACATACTATCTAAAACCCTCCACTGCCAATGCCTAGAGGTGGCAACATGCCAATCAAAACCAACCACAAAGAGTTTCAAGATCAACAAAACAAAAGAGAAAAAAGAAACAGAAAAACTAAACCAACTAGAGTCAGATGGTAGCATTTCCATGCTGTTTTGCAGTTGAGAAAGCCAGCCAATTTGCCTGAGCTGCTTTAAGGATCAGCTGCACCGGGATTTGCTTGCCTTCAAATAGACTAAGGTTGCGTGTCTTCCAGAGCCACCAAAGGATATATGTTGTTAGTTGTATTTGTTGATATCAAATCCAGTAACAGAGATTGAAGCGAAAAAATCAATCGAATTATTGAAGAGATAAATTCCCAAGAAAGTAAACACCTTACAAGTCGGTATGCATTAGAACAAATTACCGACTTCTAAAGAATTACCGACTCGTTGAGAAGTACCGATATCTGAAGCCTCCAGCACAAGTAAACCGACTTAAGGTCTACCGACTATTATAAAGTCTGAATATTCCAACAGAAAGTAATCATTATAAGCATCTGATTGGACCAACGCAACAAAAAGGCAATCAATGATGTTTCCCGCCGCCTCATACGAAGCAGCTCAATATTAAATGCATCTCTATCCATTTCAAGGAAGGAGACAAAAGCTACCGTACTATAAATAGCAGAATTTATGATAGTACGAGGATCTTTTCGATCACATTGTACACGAACTTAAGACAAACTCGGTTTTCAGCTTAAAACCGACTTCTGTACTCTTGTGAACATAATCAATAAAATCCAATTAAACTTTTATCCTCATTTTCGAGACATCAACTGTGTTTAATTTTAAGTTGTTAATCCAAGACAACAACAGTTTGGCGCTAGAAGGAAGGCAACCTCCGTTTTGATTGTCTGTCTTGTAATAACACACGCAAAGGATGTCGAATTCTGGACGAAATGAACGTAATCCAGATGCTGGGGTCAATCGTCATCCAACCCATACGACTGGAACTTCTACCGTGCCATCTGCATCAATTGATTATTCAGCTTTATTTCAAGATCCAGAGTTCTTGAAAAATCTAACTGATTTTATGGCACGAACAAGGATAGAACCAGCCGCGGCAGTTAATCCTCAAACTCATTCAACTCCAGTTCTACGAAGAAATAATATCCCTGTAACATCACATGCGACTTCCCATCCACGTACACATGAATCACATGATGTAACAACCCAAAATCGTGGGGTAGTTCCGGTACAAACTCGAGTTCCAGAACCAGCGCGATCAGAAGCAACTGCAGAAAGCCATTCTGGACATCGACCACGACAGCCTACTCCGTTGTTACCAGAACTATCACGACATGCTCAACCTTCTGATTTACGACATACTCTCGAACAAACCCATGCTCGTCGTGGGCAGAATGAGTTACGTCGTTTAATTGAAAGGAATCGCCAAAGACGCGAATCAGAAGAGTTAGAAATATTGAGAAAAAGAATTGCTGAGTTGGAAACTTGCCAAGATGAACATGGAGAGCCACCACGACGAACTCCAATGATAGAAGAGACGTATCAAGAGGTTGGGACTCCTTTAGCTCCTCATTTAACTAGAGAGCCTATCCCGACTAAAGTCAAAGTTCCGCAAATCGGCTTATATGATGGAACTTCCGATCCTGATGCTCATCTTGGTCAGTACACATCTTGGATGGATCTTCATGGAGCAAATGAAGCACTCAGATGTCGAATGTTTTCCTTACCTCTGGGACCACGAGCCCAGAAATGGTATCATTCTCTATCTCGGTACTCGATTTCAACGTGGCAGCAGTTGAGAACGGCTTTTCGCTCTCATTTTATCGGGGCCCGAGTATCTTTAATTCCCAAAGAGTCGATCGCGAATATAGTACAAAAAGATGATGAAAGTGTGAAAGATTATATTACTCGGTTTAACGAACGCATACAAAATATGGAGCAATGCCATCCTGAAACGCTATTGGTCACAGCCATAGCCGGATTGAAGCCAAACTCGTTGTTCCGATGGAGTATATGTCAGAATAAACCGACTTCATTTCAAGACTTTTTAGCTCGGGCTCAACAGCATATTTTAGCTGAGGAATCAATGTCAGTTCCTAATATCGACTTTTCATCGCTGAAGTCGGAAGTCGGGCAGGAGTCGAAAAAGAAGAAAGGCAAATTCTTCAAGCCAAATAAGTCTCGATTTGGGAATCCAAAAATCCCCGAAGTACAAGAAGCCAGAACTAAATATCTTAATGAAGTTAAATCCAGCTACCAGACGGTATTCTCGGCAGGAGCAGCAACGATATTTGAAGAATTAAAAGGGAAAGGAATTCTTCCTGATCCTCGACCTGTCAGAACACCCGAAGAAAAACTTGATAAAACGAGATATTGTTCATATCATAAGTCGGCAAGTCATAATACTGATGAATGTCTCGGTTTACTTTCTGCCTTGTTGCGACTTATTGGACATCCTCAAGTCCAAAGATTTGCCAAGAATGTTGATTACAAACGAAAAGGAAGAATGCCTGATTTACCAGACGATGAAGACGATGAAGAACGTCCAATTAATCCAAAATGGGTGAGATCAAATGAGAAAGAAATATACATGACGAATCAAAGAGAAAGAGATTCGACTGAAATGATGCGTCGAGGGGGATATTATAATCCTGACAATTCACACCATGTACCTCGGGTCAACAACAGCAGCAATGTAACGTTGGAATCACGGAGGCAAATAAAAGCGTATGCTCGAAAAGCTTTTAACTCGGGTAAAACAGTTTTAACTACTGACCTCCGAGATAAAATTAATGCTCGGAACAATTGTCCGATCACATTCAATGTTGATGATGCAAGTTATTTTGCTCACCCTCATGCTGATCCCTTAATAATCACGGCACCCATCTGTGGAATACCGATACATCGTATGTTGGTGGACACCGGAGCATATTCAAGTATCATGATGTTACGTACATTTGAACAAATGGAAATCGATCCAGCCGAGCTAAAACCCTGTAAGGATCAAGTACAAGGCTTTAATGGAACCATAACGATAACCCTTGGCGAAATCACTATGCCAATTCGGTTCGGAATCCCCGGGCAAGCTTCCAAAGTTATTATGGAGACATTCAAGGTGATGGATCTTAAAAATCAATATAATGCCATCATTGGACGGACTGCTTTATACAAGCTTCGTGCAGCTGTATCAATATTTCATTATGCTTTGAAATTTCCTACTAATAATGGAGAAGGAACTCATTATGGAGACCAGTACGAAGCTCGCGGAATGGTATGGGTTAAACCCTGGCATGAACCCTGTATGCCCGTACATATGATGGAAGATATCGAAGAAAGTCAAGAAAATTCAACACTCATCAACTCGGAATCATGCAATACCGAGATCGAACTTGATCCTGCGAAATCAAACAACGATTTGATTTGTGTTCGTGGGAGACGTCCAGGAAAAGAGCCAATTAAAGAAGAAGATGTACTTGATCCTCGAATTCAATTTAAGGAGAAAAGCAAACTTGAACGAGCTGAACCATCAGAAGAGGTTGAGGTAATATTCATAGACAATCCTGTTTGTCATAAGTCGGTGCAAATTGGGGCCAATCTTCAAGAACCAATACGAACTCGGCTCATCCAATTCCTCAAAGCCAATTCCGACGTATTTGCCTGGAAACACGAAGATATGAAAGGAATTGATCCAAAGATCGCTTCTCATCGACTTAATTTGGATCCAACAATTAAACCGGTGGTCCAAAAACGACGCAAACTCGGTCCTGATCGACAGAAAGCTCTTGAAGAAGAAGTTCAAAAATTGGTTGATAACAAGTTCATTCAAGAGACAAAATACCCGACTTGGGTGTCAAATCCTGTTCTGGTAAAAAAGAGTTCCGGTGCATGGCGACTTTGCATTGATTTTACCGACTTAAACAAAGCTTGTCCCAAAGACAGTTACCCTTTACCACATATTGATTACATGGTCGATGCCACAGCTGGACATGAATTAATGAGCTTCATGGACGCCTATTCGGGTTACAATCAGATCCCTATGGACCCTGAAGAGGCAGAACATACTTCTCTTTATTTAGCCCGAGGATTATATTGTTATACTATGATGCCGTTCGGTCTTAAAAACGCTGGGGCCACATATCA